CCCCGTACCCAGATAACTCTTGGCCGATTGCAAAATTAAAGATTGAAAATTTTAGGTAGGTGCATTCTGTATTTAAAGTACCTAAAATATTAAATCTCCCACCCAGATGGAATCGTTCAAAAGTTACCAAGGGGCTGTCCAGAGTGTTGGACCACCCTGTATATCCTAACCGCCGCCGAATCCGAGACCGCAGACCGCTCCATGTTTACATGTTTACACCTGGATTGTGTATTACATCTGCTCTTAGTTTGCCTTTTTACTAAGTTTTTATGTGATTATTTTCATTGAAATGATATTTACCTTGTTTTTTATGTATTTAAATCTACGCTTAGCACGAATTCGTACCCTGATTAGTTCATTTTGAATTTCCTCAACTTGTTTAACTGAACTGAACCGTCGCTCTCTCACTGGTAGCCAAACGAAGGGTAGTCCTGAAGTTCCTTGGAATGAAATCTTGCAGGCGATCTCAGTCATTTCAGGTACAGCAGACACAGTTGTGTTTAACTTTTCCAATTAATTTTTCCTGACTCTGTCAATACCATTAATATTCTGAGGCATTTGTGTCAAAGCTGTCAAGAGCATAGCATGTTGACATCAAAATGACTCGTCAGTGGATTGGACCGTTGAATAGATCATTTTTATTATGCCATGATATCAAAATTCAATCAAAAGCTCTACTATCATTCATTACACATTTTGAGGTATTATAAAGAATTGACCATCGGCCTCATTGACTCCGACATGCGATTGAGCGTTTTTGCAGGCAAAGACCCCCTACGAATGAGCAGGCGATCACAGAGCGGGAGTAGCTGGTGGAGCGTGCATGAAGCTCGCTCGGACTCCATGATTATACTCTGTTGCTCTCTCCTCTCCTCTACTCTTTGCACATCACATAATGGCGCCAAGCACAAATTTCACTCTCGGAGAAAAATTAAACTGCTCAGCTCAGGGAATTGACCTTTTTGATCGGGATTAAATTTCTAAAAGAGTTCAAACCAAGT